CTGGTGACAGTTCTCAGCATGGATGGGGGGAAGGAGCCTCTCTGTCCAGCTTCAGAGGAAGACACGGTGGGAAGCCACCTGGGTTCTCAAGAGCAGGGAGGAGAACAAGGAAGTTATTATACACATGCAGAGAGCAGGCCTGACTGGAAAGGATGCTCATCTAACAAGGGAGCTGAGGCCTTTCAATAATAGGGGCTACAGTCAATCCTTGACATAAAAGGATTATATTCAGGGCCAAGGAAACCAACCAGAGTACCAATTCCAAAGGACAAGTCAACTGTGAAAAAAGAGCAAGAACAGATCCCCAAACACTGGTAGCTGGAGTCATAAGCCTAAGGAAAGGGTTCAAAACTAAAACTAGGACAAGCACATTGTGAGTGAATCTGAACTCAGATTCTCCATTCATTACGTTTGCTGCAGTGACGGCATGGAGGTTTAATCTTAATCACAAGAGTCAAGACAACACTAAACATCACATTTGGGGTGTAAATATGTAATGGGGTGCTAAAGCGTTAACTGCTTATTAACAAGTCACTAAAAATTGCTCTTGAAAAAGTGAAATTATTAGACATAAATAAATTAATATAAAAAAGAAAGCAAAATATGCCAGCAGGGTGGGAAAATGGTATAATCTGGAGCAGCATTTCTCAAGGGACATTGTAAGGTCCCAAGAGATGTGACTGTTCCAAATGCATAAATTGGGGCAGTGCTATAAGTTCTGTCCTCCTCTTGGGAGAGCTGTGTTTTAAATAAAGCTGTGGTAAATTCTGTAAGAAAATATTCTGGTTGGTTTTGTTTAGTCCAGAGTTTTCCTTATTATACTTAACATGAAAATCTTTTTTTTTCTTTATTTTAAATTATGAGTTATAAATGCTTGCTTAGTTTAAAAATGAGTTGATTTGGTTAAAAATTTCTTAATTGTATAAAGTCTTCTAAATCTGTGTTCAAATGATATGACCTGGCAATAGACCCCTATAATCACTTTTAAAAGTTAAAATTAGATACACCTTACACCAGAAAAACACACAGCATATGCCAGAATAAACCACAAATGGATCAGCAATCTAAGTATAAAAAATGAAGCCAGACAAATAACTGGAAGAAAATGTGTGAATTTCTATAAAAGCTGGGTTACACAGAGAGGCTTTCTCACTTATGACTGAAAATACAAAGACAATTTAAAAGGTTTATACATTTGACTTCAAAGTTTTTTTTAAAAAACTTTTTGACAAAAAAATACCATAATGACTAATGACAAAGTGAACAGAAGATAGAAGCATTATGATAGAAGTGCAAAAGACATGGGACAACACATACATACCACGTTTATACGTGTACACTACATAAATGGCCTTAAATGTATTAACATAGAGCCAGTTCCACCTATAATGAAAACAAATGCAAACTACACTACCTCAACCGAGTTCTTAAGTCTCAGGTTAGGAAGCATTTAAAAACTTGGGGTTTTGCTCTAGGTGAACCAGCTGGTGAGACGGCATATGGGTACAATCCTTATGGAGAGAATTTGTCAATATTTCACAAAACCAAGTGTGCATTTGCCTTTTTTACAGGAATCCCACTTCTAGAAATTTACTTGAAGGGATACCTCTAAGTACATAAAAATGATATAACCAAGGATTATTCATTTTAGTATATATTGTTAGCTGAAAAAAAAGGAAACGACAAAAGAGCAACTTAGCATGCTACTTTTTGCATGAGAAAAAAAATAATGTTTAAATAAACACATATGCACTTACTTTTTGAAAAATGAAACACAGAAAGAAGGTACCAGAACTAATGAAATATATTACCTCTAGAGGGATGGGTGGAGGTAGAATGGAAGTGATGAGGGGATGGGAATACACAGGAAGAGATGAGAGGGTTGACTCTTTCCTGCATATATCTTTTTGTGTATTTTGATTTTTAAATTGTTAATGTTTTATGTACTCAACAACAATTTTAAAATATACAAATCAGCCAGAATGGATGGAAAAGCCTAAAATGTAATACAAACGAAAGCAGAAACTCTGTGTTTCAGTATGAATGATATAACCACACTGACAGGATGAGAGGACTAACCTAAGTAAATGTTAAACATAGTATTTTGACAAAAGAAAAAAAAAGAACTGTAAACAAATAGAGAACTCTAAAGAATAGTTTTAGAATGGACTGTATATTTTTGTTTCTGTTTTATTTTTGTGTGTTTTTGTTTTGCTTAGCAATTTTGAAACTACTTTGGGTGTGTTTTATTAATTCTCAAAATAAGTAAATGGAAGCCAGATTCCTTACTGTCAGAAGGGAGTAACAAATATGGAAAGAGAAAACATGAGAATGAATGTGTTGGTATTGGATTCGTTTTGGAGGAATCAATATGAGTACATGATCAGTAGCTGTCAAATGTTTCCTGTAAAGGACAAGAAAATAAATTCTTAACACCATCATAGTAGCATAAAAGCACCCCTAGACAACATAGAAACAAAAGAGCATGGCAGGTTTTTTTTTCCTTTCCCCTTTTATTCTATCATTTTTACATTTACTTACATGTGTATACACTGTTTGTGCCACTTCCCCCACCCTCCACCCCCACTTCCAGGCAAAGCCTGTTCCACCCTCCTCTTCTGTGATTTTGTTGAAGAGAAAACATAAGAGATAATAAGAAAGACATAGCATTTTTGCTAGTTTGAGATGAAGATAGCTATACAGAGAGATGCCTAGCATTGCTTCCATGCACTTGTGTATTGCAACCAATACACAAGTTTTAGGTTTCTTTTCCTTTCCCTATTTCTCCCGTACGTGTTCTCCCCTTAGTGTGTGACGCATGGCAGTTTTTCAATAAAACTTTGTGAACACTGAAATTTGAATTTTTTTAATACTCATGTCATGAAACATTGTTAATTTCTAACCATTTAAAAATATAAATGGTTAAATTAGTTTTCAGATTGTACTAAATAGGCAGTGAGAAAGACTTGGTCCCATGGGACGTAGTTTACAACTCCTGTTGATTGATTGATTGACAACAAATATGGTAAAATTGGGGAATCTTGGTGAAGGATATATAGAAGTTCTTTGCATTCTTCTTGTGACTTCTCTATAAATCTGAGGGAGTCTTTTTAAGTGTAAAAAGAACCCTTTACTGTACACAACTACTTTTGAAGAGTAACCCTAGCAAAATCATTGGCCTAAGAAGTAAATGTCTTGTTTTTTGTAACATTCACACAAGGACCACCACTTACACCCCCCATTCCACAAACCAAGAGTAGGACCTCCCATTGCCATAATGGAGAGTTCCTCGTCTGTGGCTGAGGTGTCATCAGATGTTAGCATCATTTTCTCCTGTCATCCCTGCTCTCCATCACTCTCAGTAAGTGATGAGGTCACTGGACTGGTAATTTGTATATGACCGTGTAATTTTCTATCATGTGGGAAATTTTTTGGTCTGACATAATTAAATGAACTAAATAAAAGGTACTTATCAGAAAATGCCCTATTAGCTTAGAAATCTGTGACAAATCCTTTCTGATGTCCTTAACGTGTTATTATGAAATTTAATTACAAAGCACTCTCACCTCTCATTTTACCAGCCATAATCTAGTGATAGCTATAGTGAACAATGACTGAAAGTTTCAAAATATTACAATAGGAATTGAGTGATTTTTACATTGAAATACTTTTTATACTAGAAGAGTGAGTGGCTTGTGAGGAAATCTTACCTGTATAAACTAGTAATCATTCCACCAGCCTTTACAAGTTTAATTTTAACAAAACCAAATCCTCGCCTTAGTTTATCACACCTTGGTAAGGCCACACCATGATCTTCATTGGTTATGGTAGTATAACTGAAATTTATTTAATGATAACTCTATACCAGACCCATGCCAAATGTTTTTCATCCATTTAATCCTAACAACCAAACTCTGAAGTACTATCATTATCTCCTTACAGATGAGGCTTAACAACATTAAGTTCTTACTTTAGAAACATGGAGCCTAGACTGTTTTTGAGAGATGGTATTCTTAGCTATTCATAGGGACTATCTCTCATTATAGAAAAAGACAGGAGGAAATACAGAAATTTAGAAATTGTTTTCTCAGAAGGACATGCTCTTGTTGAGAGGAAAAAGGTAGGTGATTTGAGGTGCTAATATCCATGAAGAAATAGAACTCACACTGGAAAATCCTTTATATTCCCCTACCTGTTCCCTTCCCTGCTGAGAAGCTTGGGAATAAGTTGGGAGATGAGAAGGGTTTGAAGTACAGCACATAGAGACTCATCCTATCACCCTTCTGGAATTCACCAGCTTGAATTATGCCCACCCAAGTATCTACTAGAGAGAACAGGAGACTGGAAAAGAGGAGGAGGAGGAAGGAACGTACAAAGATCAAGAAATGAAATTGGAAGTTTGAGCAGAGAGTCAGGGAATGCAAGAGGGGCTTTCCCCGTCTTATAATGAGAGAACTACTCAAGGCCTGATGGCTCTCTGTCTGTCCTGTTGCCTTTGATGCTCTCTTGCCCATAGTTAATGCAGACTGGTCCCACCTCTGTGGTGGTTACCTGGAAGCCCCCAGAATGACCCCTGCTTTGAGTCATATGGGGAATGTTGTCATCCATGACACAAGACGTGGTTTTTGTCAAGACTTTCTTATCCAAAGAGCATAAGGAGCATCATCTCTACTGCATTTCTTCTGAGTTTTTGAAATAATTTTCCTCTGGAGAAAAACTGGGCTACAATTTAATGGTAATATTAATAAACTTTTGAGAGGAATAGTTGTAATTTAATCAATGTATTAATCAAAAAACTGGTTGTTAAGTGACTGGCCCCATATTAAACAATTTATAAGACTGGATATTAATATCTGGGTACCTTATCTTTCTGAAATATACAGGAGACAAAAAATGTCTCTTTGTGGAAAGTCCCACAGAGGAAACTGAAAATCCAGGGGAAACAAAATATATATATGGAATGACAGGCATGTTGTTCATTTGTTACCTTTTCTTTTTAGGGACTGGCTAAACATGCTGAGCCCACCAATTGTTCCTCCCAGTCAGCAGACAGTGGAGCAGCATCCAGATTCCTCTGGAAGTTTGAGTGCTCAAGGTGGGAATATGAAAAATGCTATGCATAAAAAATAAAAATAATTTGCTATAAATACAGGAAAGCAACACTTTAAGATGCCCTTGTTTTCACTAAATGTGATCTTTTAGAATAAGTTCTTTACTTGCCAGGATATAGAGAAATTGTCACTGTTCTTCTAAAGATTGATTGCAGGGAAAAATATAGTTTACAGCACAAAAGCCTGCTTTGTTATCCAACTGAACCTTCAACTGAATTCCAGCTTTACCAGTTCCCACTGTGTGGCCTTTGAATTTTAGTTCCCACCTCTGTAAAGTAATATTAATAATAGATAGTGCCCACCTGGTGCTTTCTTGTGAAGATTCAATGAGGTATTGAGTATGCTTCTCTGTCTATGAAGTACTTAAAATAGTGCTTACCAAATACTAGCTATTGGGATTATTTTAAGGCAGACCCAGTCTTCCAGTCTCACTGAGATACAGTCATGCACTCACTGCCTGATGATGTTTTGGTCAACAAGTGACCTCATATATAACAGTGGTCCCAAAAGATTGCAATGGAGATGGACAATTCCTATCACCTAGTGATGTCATAGACATTGTAATGTTCAATACAACCCATTACTCACATGTTTGTGATGCTGTTTTAAAGAGACCTACTACTCTCCAGTGGCATGAAAGTATACCACATATGATTGTGTATAGTACATCATACATGATTATAATAAATTACTATGTTACTGGTTTATTTATTTACTTAGCCTACTTCTTAATCATTATTTTAGAAGATACTCCTTCTTCTTCTAAAAAAAAAAACACCAGTATACTGTAAAACAATATGCCATGTCACACCAGCACCATCCTTGTACAGCTCCTGTTCACTGTGTCTCTTGATAGCATCTAGATTTGCATAAATACACTCTATGACATTCACACAGCAACAAAATTGCCTAATGTTGCATTTCTCAGCGCATCTCCCATGGTTAAGAGGTTTTCTTTAATATGGAGACACTGCCTTTTCACTAAAGCTAAGACTGTCCCATAACTGTAATATGTATTAGCAATGTAAAACCTGGAAGGAAGCAGGAATGAAAATTCACCTCGTGCCCCGTTTTTGGTGAGAGCTATGAAGATGAGCCTTTAGTTTCTGGTTATGAGTAGGAAACCTGACTTTCAGAACTACGTGAAGGAGGAACATAAAAGAATCTTTGGTGGGAAAAGAGGGGCTGAGATGGGAGGGGCAGCAGTGACCTCAACGCATAATTGGAGTGATAAATAACGTCAAAGTGGGACAATTTTCTGGGGTGAATTTTGAAGATGGAAGTACTATATCTAAAGTTTAAAAAAAATGAAAGTGAAACCAATATAAATTGCTCCAACAAAAGTGTCAGGTTTAGGGGGTTTTTTTCCCCTAACTGCCCCAGGGAGAAAGTTGAGCATCTCATTTTTCTTCAGGTATGGAGAATTCAGAGTGAAAGCTTGTATATCTGACTTATATGGTTTGGCCGCCCAAGGGATGGAGATGTCTCTGTGATTAATGTCTGAAATAGATTATGCCCCTCAAATTGGGATATTTTTAAAGGTGTACATTTATAATTACTTATGATAGAAAAATAGAATCTTGGCTGTCAGGAGGAGACCTTGCTGTGAGGGAACAAATAATATGTTATGTTAAGTGTCCTAAAAAAGCCACAGGAACTGAGAGCGTGGTCCTTGAGCAAAGGCACTCAGATATATATTGGTGATAAGTGGCTGGAAGGGTATCTTAAAGTTGCCACTGCAAAATCCATTTCTGGCAACAGGAGCTCTGTTATGTTGTAGGTAAACAGAGCTTCCACTGAGAAAAAATTAACAAATCCAGAGGATTTTGGAAATGTGCTGGCTAATGTTAACCAGGTCAGGCACCCCTTCTGCCTATGCCCCTCTCCCCAGTTTTTATCAATTGCCCCCTTACCCTCTTACGTGCCTGGATAGTTGGTAGTTAATTAATACCTACACAAGCCAGTGTTTCCTGTTTGCTCACCTTCACCTTTTCTGATATGCTTGACTGATTTGTAGTTAATTAATATCATCAAATACTGTATTTCCTATTTGGTTAATCTTTCCATGGTAGTGGCATAGCTTTAGACAGCTTAGCAGAGTCAATACTGGCCTGTACACTGAGGTAGGGTTTCCATCTGTTCCTATAAAATGTTTGTCAAAGAAAAACAATGGCTCAAGTTTCCACTTCTTATCATCAGAAGGGAAAGAGAGGTGTGGTTGTGGGCAGTCTGGAACTCTTCCTGGGTTTGTATTGCGCAGAGGCTCACCTCATGTTACTATATGCCAGAGACTGTGCTGTCATTACATCTAACCCTCGTAACACTGCCATGAGAAAGACAGTGCTAGAGCTGAAGAAACAGGGAATGCAGAGTCTTAAGTAACTTACCCAGTGTCATACAACTGCAGAAGCAGAGCTACGATTTGAAGCCAAGCAGCCTGCCCCAGAGCCCAGCCACTAAGTTTTTACGCTCTTTGGGGTCTTGAATCAAGCAAATAGATTACTTACTCCAAAAATAATATATATTACAGGAATATAATAAAGGAGGTGAGCTCATTTAAAATACACTGTATGCATCTATGGAATTATCACAGTAAAACCCCTTGTACTATTATTGTCTGCCAATAAAAATAAATAATACCTAGAACCAGTCATTGAAATTTTTTTTTCTATTGAGAGTTCCTGATCTATAGGAAAAAGAAATTAAAACTTCTCAAGGACTAAATGGCTAGATTCTTAAAGATGAGTAAGAGAGAGAGAGAGATTGACCTCAGGTCACTGTTTCAGCCCTGGACCTGCCTGCCCTCCCAGCCCTGCTTGTTAGAAATGACAGGGAGCCACAATTGACCTGATGAAGGCCAGAGTCAAGGGGTGGGTGGCTGAATGAAGCATGGAGTCACTGGACTATGGATCTGCCTGGCCCATGTCCTTACATATAGCCATCTCCTTACAGGCCTCCCACAGAGCCTCACCTAAGCTGGTCAGTCTTCCACATCGTGCATTGTCTCACTTCACCTGCTAGCATTTTTCTCAGGGCCTTTTCAGTTTGTCAGTCTTGATTTGTCTACTAGTTTCTTCCTAAGTAGCCTAAGAGAGTTTAAGAGCAGACACTGTGCCAGTCAGCTCACTTCTGGATCTCTGGTCCCCATGCGATAGCTGGCACATACTAGATTCTCTAAATTCTCATTAGAAAAAGACAAGAAGGGAGAAAGGGAGGGAAGGAATGTAAGAAATGATCTTTAACTGGTCATCTCTTATACCAACCATTAAAAAAAAGTAAAGCAGTCCGTTGAAATCTGACCTTCAGTTTTTTTTCCCTCATTCCAGTGTTTGTGTACATTTGGTATATTTCTAAAATTCAAACATGAAAGTATTGAACTTAAACCCATATATTTTAGCAATTAAAAAGTTAGAGATCACATTAAACAGTGGCTCTTATGAGCAGTGAAACTTTTATTTCAAATGGAATCTAATAAGGAATGGAATCCCAATACATAAGAGGTAAGAGCAGAGCTGCCCTGGCTCAAGGGTGACTTAGGGTCTCAGACTCATGCCCTGGGGCTGTAGTGAGCCAGTTTGAAACACTGATGTAGTCTAGCCCCTCAGTTTGCCCAAAGGGATAAATGACTTGCCCAAGGTCAAATGCGCAATCAGCCAAGACAGGATTAGGACCTAGACTTCCTCTACATCAGTGCCTTTCCACTGAACCATTTCACTGATTTATTTTTGAGCATGATTTATGAGGGCTGATTTCACAGAGAAAGGAGATAACCCATCTTCATCCTTACAGGGGGATCCTAGGCAGATCCTCCTGTCTAGGAGACTGAGGCAGGAGGATTGTGAGTTTGAGGCCAGCCTGGGCTACATGGTTAAACTCTGTCTCAAAACAAAGCAAAAGATCACTAATGTTTATTCCATCTTCCTATCTTCCATACTAGTTCTACATGTGTACTAGTTCTCACAGCAGCCTATGAGCTACATATTGTTATCACCCACTCTTCCACATAGTTTACTGCAGCTTGGAGCAGTAAGCCATGCACTGGTCCACCTCACCTGCATCAGAAATAGAGATACAAAAATGTATGGGTGCAGCTGAGGAATTACTCCATTTTAACACAGAGAAAGATGGCCTGATGAATGCATAATTCTAGACAACTTCCCCAGGCCATACTAAAGGAAGTGTGTGAATTACATCTGGCCCTTGAGTCAGAGGTCCTGTCACTACTTTATTCAGTAGGAGTTTGTGTCCTAGCCAGTTTCTGTTTGGCCATAATGTCTCAAGTGTATAAATGCTACATTTAAGTGAGCAGAGCAGCCAGCAAGAATGGTATCACACTCTGATCCCTGCTACTGGACTGGATGGAGAAACAGCCCTCTTCACAGTTCCTCCTGGGCTGTAACATACTTGCTGAATATCAATTACCATGAGCATGGGTGCCCTTAACACTTACTAAAAATGTGTTTTCCTGGAGCTTGTGCGAAATATAAAAATGGAAAGTGAAGATTTCAGAACTTACTCAAGAAAACTACCCAGCTGACCTTTTGAAAATGAACCGTACTTTGCTTGAAGAATAGTTGTCAATTTGCTTTTGACATTTGTTCCTATACAGATACACCCTTAAATTATTCATGCCTATCAGCTCCAAAATGGAATAATAATGACCTGTCTCTTCAGCCTATAGACCTCTCTGCAGTTCACATAGATTTTGAGTAAGAAAGGCATTCTGAAGGTTTTTTGGAGTTGCCAGAGTCTCATATAAACAAGCTACTTGTACCTTCTTTATGGAAGTGCTGCACAGAATATTCCTTTATGAATGGTGATTAGTCTCCCAGGAGATGTAAGTAGACAGCAGATGTTTACCTTTTAGATGTAATCTCCAAATTACCAGTAAAGAATTTACGGAGGTCTCATGAGTCCTCACAGCTAGCCAGAGAGAGGGGTATCTGCCTGCTGTACTCCAACAAAGAGGTCCTTTTCATGGTCC